TCAAGAAATATTAGAAAAATATGTATAGGATGTCCTCACCTCCATCAGTCTGAGCTGGGGGATAGGACACATGGAGCAGGGCCATTAACTGTTCTGTATAGCAATAGCTTTGCAGCTAACCTCTGGCATGGTCATTTAACATATCTGTAACGTTTAACTGGTTTCATGGACATGTTACGTAGCTGTGGCCATGCTTTGAGCCAGGGGAATGGGAGTGACTTCCACCCAGGATGTAACTGGAAAGCAGCTCCCCCTGGTTACAGCGTCTGCATGAGAGCTTGGAGATGACTGGCTCCACACCATGGGGCCACACCTGCCCAGACTTACCATGGCAGCCCAGTAAAGCTGGAAGGATACAGGAGTGCTGGCAGGTGTAACTGATTGTGGGAAGAGTGGGAAATGGGGGTACAGAGGAAGATTGGCACGGGGATTTAAACCCAGGCATGGCAGCCATGGTGGGAAATCACCACAGCTTGGGCAGAGGTTGGGATCACTTGGCTCTGGGGTGCTCACTTTTGCCACATGGCTTAGGCAGCGGGAGAGACTTTGCCTGGAAGAAAAGGGGTGAAAAGACTCTTGCTGGTAGGCCATGAGAAGGTGACACATGGCTTTGGATTAACTGGAGATCGTGGTAGCAACACAGCTGATGGTGCCGGGACCCTGAGGCACAGACTTCTACTTCTTTTCCTAAGGACCCCTTGACTGGGCAGAGGGAGAAGGAACAACTCTGTGTCGTGGGTATTCTGAAGGACTTTAGTATTTTTAATGAAGACATTAAGTCATTTACTCTAAGTCTGTATAACTTTTAAATAAATAATTCCTTTCCTTTTCACCAGTCTCTGGCATTGAGAGACATCTTTCCTCTGGCGGCGGGCAAAGCGAACCTAGTATGGGGGGGAACCCCCGAAGAAAAAAGAGGGGGGTCTTTTTGGTAATAATATACCATTCACCGGCTCTCCCACACTCCGGTCTGTCCTGTAACACTTCCACACCTAAGTGGTTTGAATGTGCATCCTGAAGACGGCTGAACTGGGCCACCGGCACTGACCGCAGCCGCCTCCCAACCCGCATGGCCACAGCACACTTGGCAGTCTCAGGGAAGCGTGGGAGGGCAGCCGAGTTTCTCGTGTTCCTGAGGCTGAGACCTTAGGAATTTGCTGAGAAAAGACCAACCCCGAGGAGTCTGCTGGTCATGACAAGAAGACACGCACAGCAGAAAACAGTGACTCAGGGGTCGTAGACCCTGCAGTGAATGTCAGCGATTGAAGAGGCTGCATTTTGTGGAGGGCACACCGAACAGAGGGACAGCCCCAGATCAGAGAGCTTTTCTCACACCTAACGCATCGAACAGGGGTGCTACCCAGGGGAGAAGACCGATGGTGAAAATCATGAATTAAGGTTTTGAAATTTTTAAATTTTTATGTGTTTATTTGAGCCAAACTGATGATATATACTGGGGAGCAAGATCCCAAATGCTCCATGAATTGAGTTTTCAAATGAAAAAAAGAAAGAAAGAATACTGAGAAAATGTATATGGGACCCAATTTTTCTGGAGGTGCTAGGATTTCATTTTCTGTCATCAGGTAGATTCGGTGGAGTAACGAAAAAATATAGTTGTGCTTCCTGCACAGGGCTGCCTGGCTGGGATGGGGGCGCGGACTCAGACCCAGAGCAGGGCTCATTCCGACTGGCAGGCCTGGAGCGTGCCCTACGGCCTTGTTATTCCAGGTGTAGTCCAAGGACTAGCAGCAAGGCCATCACCTGGGATACAGTAGAAATTCAATCTCAGGTCTTACCCAAGATCTGAAACTGGATCTGCAGTCTAAGATTCCAACGTAATTCATATGCATATTAAAATTTGGAAAGCATTGCCTTAAGGGATGATTAGAGGTTTCATTTTTTCCCCTTAGTTTAACTCCTCACAAAATCTTAATCTGATAGTCAGAGACAGCAGAGTGGCTCCATTCCATTTGGGAGGCTCATGGCCCTTTAGCTCATTACTTCCAACAGCTCTGGGCCACAGCCGAGGATCTCCCAGCCTCCAGAGACCAGCTAGCACCCAAGCTTCTCTGTGTTATATAAAGGAGCTAAGGAAATGTGTCTAATGTGGGTGATCTGCTGTGAGGGACATGGGTGAGGGGGCTTTCTGGACGGAACATGCTGGCAGACACCGGGACAAGGCTACACAGAAAAACCCAGCTCGATGCTCTGTGTAGGCTACCAGCCTCCATGCCCTGCTTAACCCTCAGGACCACACAGACCCAAGCAAGCCCAGGAGTGAGTCCCCAGAGTCCTGGGTGCTGCAACAAACATCCAGGCACAGAAATGGACAGTGAACCCAGGCCAGACCCTGCATTTCCAGGGCTGCTCATACGGATCCACAATCCTAAAACCCACTGATCCAGGACTCCGGAGCTGGCTAACGTGGCAAGGTGATGCTGGCTGAAGGGTTGGCCCCCACTGTGACGCAACCCACATCTGCACTCTAGGACTGAGCTCCGAGGCTTCCTGAGGGAACACTCCTTTTAGCTGCTGGGAACCCTCCCCGTTTTTTTTGTAAGTTAAGGGACAGGCTTCCTGGGTTCATAAGGTGAGGGCTAGTCTCAGGTGGGAGATGTGCAAGTCTACAGATGGTGGAGAGACAGGGCATGAATCCTAACTTTGAGATTTGACTCAAGTTGTCAATGGGTGTAAAGCCTTCACTTTTAAGATTCAAATCCCATCCTTCTACCCTCAGGTAAGGTGGGGACAGGTGAGGAAGGACATTAAAGCTCTTTAGCTGTTTCTTCAGGGATTGGATTGATAATGGGTAAGAATGGAGTACAGTGTGTTTGGGGACAAAGAATGAAAGGTTCTGATACACGTAAGTTTTTCTGTGCTTTCAGGAGAGAGAACAAGCCTCTGGGCAAAGCTGTGCAGGGATCTCAGAGCTGTCAGATCCCCAGAGGCAGACTTGACCTTGGCAGGGCCCAGTAATGTCACTGGGGGTCTTGTCGAGTAATGAGTGGAGAGGACCCATACTAGTGGGCTTGTTGACGAAGCCACAGTGGCGACCAGTATAGGGCAAGGTTAATTGGGAAACAGACACTGGTCTGTTCTGTGTGCAGCATTGGTCAAGTTTACCAGCAAGACAAACAAGACTCAGTGTAACTGACAGTGCTGCCTGAGATCAACAAAAAGCAAAGGCTGAACCTTGTGACTGGATGAGAAGCAGCTCGCCCAATCCAGGGTGTGCAGGGTGAGCCAAGGCTCAGGAGGCGGCGCTGCCAGCAAGCTTGGGAACGGCATGCGCTCTCTGCTCAAAGGTGATGCAAGAGCTGTTGGTGTTTTAGAGAAACATTAACTGCCAGTCCAGATTGGGAGCTCCCTCTTTTTCCAACTGATCAGAGAGCTGTTTTCAAAGCCTGGATATCTTTGGAATGCCTAGTAACCTATTGTATTTCACTGTTTTCGTTCATGATTCTCGCAAGTACAGCTACCTCTGAGAATTCTGAGTTCCTCTCACAGTACATTAGTACAGGAGGTCCTCCAACGTCATTGTTAAAAGATTGAGGAAGGAAAAACATCCCTGGCTGGGGCCACTGTTTCTGTGGGATTCCCACCTTCTCCCATGTCTGTGTGGTTTCCTCTGGGTACTCCGTTTTCCCACCACACCCCGAAGAAGTGCACATTAGGTGAAGCGAACCCGAGGGTCTGTCTAGGGCAGGGGTGTCAAACTCATTTTCACCGGGGGCCACATCAGCCTCGCAGTTGCCTTCAAAGGGCCGAATGGAATTTTAGGACTATAAATGTAACTACTCCTTACCAGTTAAGCAAGAGCTCGGTGCTGCTGCTGGGTAGAAACAAGGTGCTGGGCCAGAGAGAACAAGATGAAGGGCCGCACTTGGCGCATGGGCCTTGTGTTTGCCACCTGTGGCCTAGGCTGTCCCAGTCTGAGTGAGTGTGGAGGTGAGCGGGCCCTTTGATAGAAGGGCGTCCTGTCCAGGGTTGACTCCCCCTTGTGCCCTGAGCTACTGGGACACACTCCAGCCACCAGTATCTTATCTTACTTTTTATTAAATGTATGTACAGCTCACATTTATTCCAATGTTTAATGTAAAAAATATTTTGGGTCTTTATAAATTGGATGTTTTGCTATAAAATTTTTTTCCAAGATTTTATTTATTTATTTTTAAAGAGAGGGGAAGGGAGGAATTGAGAGGGAGAGAAACATCAATGTGTGGTTACCTCTCATACACCCCTGAGGACCTGGCCTGCAACCCAGGCATGTGCCCTGACTGGGAATCAACCTGGTGACCCTTTGTTTGTATCAATTAGCTTACGGTAAAATTGGTTTTCTTACACTCATTTTTCTTAAAGTTTCAGCTTTTAAGAATCTGTCGACACCAGAAGACTTACTGCATTTCTACTGGCTTACATGACCCACACACAGTGTGTGTTGGGACTTCAAATGGGCTGGCTGCTGAGTTGTACACATGTATTTGCACACACACCACAGCTTTAGTAATTGGGACCACGAAGTTCCTATTAGTTGGAGATTTTATATACAGAGTGGGCAAAAGTAGGTTTATAGTTGAGTATGTGAAAGTTTATTCTTGTATTATTGTTTATTAACTATTGTATTGTTTTCCACACAAAGAACTGTAAACCTACTTTTGCCCCGCCCTGCACTGCAGACTGCCAGGATAACCTGTCACCTGTAGTCAGGAGAAAGAGCCTGTCAGTATCAGCACCATGTAACTGCCTCGCGGTGGACGAGCCAAGCTGCTCACACCTAAGTTCTGGAGTCTAGATTCTGAGTGCTGGGCACATCCCTAAACACCATGAGGGGTGCCACTGAGGAAACGCCACAGGAACAGCCTTGAACTACCAACCCCTGTCCTGCCTGACCACAGAAATGACAGGGGGCCGTCTCCCCTTCATTCTGCCACCCACCCCCATCAACAGCCCCAATGCCTCCATGGAGAGGCCGCTGTAAAGACCACAGACACCCCAATTTACATAAAATTATCTCACTCCATTTTATTTAAGATTTTTTCTCCAGTTAGTAAAAGAAAGATGTGTCTCTCTTTATACATATGTACAAGTTCAGTTATAAAAATAGACAGCACATTCAAAGAGAAAAAAGGCTTGGCATTTTTCTGATTCCCTCTAAATAGCTTCTGTACACAGGAGTCTGGGTTCGGGCAGAGGAATCTTAATGATTTAAACTGATTCCCCTACCACCCCTACTCCAAAAAAAGTTTTAAAAATCAATCTATCTAAACTCAATTCCGCGATTTTCAGGTGTGCAAATTAGAGGCTGGCTCGCCCGGAAGCACCTGCTCCACCAGGAAGGTCAGGCTGGGGGGCAGGCAGAACCGCCTCCCATGCCACACCACCCCTTTGCCTTTCTCGGAGGGAAGCAGGCTCAGGTGGTGCCGGGCTGGGAGGGTCGGTGCTGAGCTTGCCCTCTCTCCATCCTCACTCCTGCTGTCCCTTCCTTTCTCAGTGCAATACAGACAGTGCATACAGCCAAGCAGGGGGCTGAAGGGCAAGGGTGGGGAGACTGTGCATTCAGGAAGGGGAAAGGGAGTCCGTAAGAGGGGCAGTGAGGATGTCCTGCTGATTGAGGTGGCTCCTGGTCTCTTTACTGGCTTCTGGGAGTCCCAAGGTGGGAGCTGCTGCTACTGTTGCTGGTGGAACCTGGAGGTTCTCTGGTGTGAACCATGCAGGGCAGGGAAGGAAATGCAAGGAAAACAACTGCCTCCAGGCATGCTTCCTCTAGCTGTCAGTCGCTTTCACAAGCCACTACCTTTGTTTGCACTCATTGCTCTTTTTAGCCGTGACCATCTGACGAATGGGGTTTGGAGACCTGGGGAGCTGCCCAAAGACTGGGGATGCCAGATACATGATTTCCTTCCTTCCTAGCCCTATAGGAAATCCCAGCCCTGAAAGAAGTTTCCACTGTGGAAGGCTCTTCATAGCACTTGTGGAGCCTTTGCAAGGGGCATGACCAGAGCTGAAGAGCAGAATGGGGATGGAGAGAGCGTGCCTGAGCACCCACAGGGGCAGTCTGTGGATGGTCCTTCCTCAGTATGAGGTTTAAGACGTGGCTCTAAAGTTCATCTGAGATGCTACAGGGCTGATCCCTGTCCTTGGGCCTTCTTCCAACAGGCAACCTCCAAGCACTCCTCAAGACACAGGTGATAAAAGTGCTCACACTGACCACCTGCCTGTCCTTCATTTGCTGCAACTGGTCATCTCTGCCCTCTGGCCTGTGAGATGCACACTGGGCAAGCCGTCCAAAGACCATCTGCAGGCCAGAACTCTAGCACGTGGTTTGACTGAAGGAAGCTGGAGGGCCCAGGTGGTTACCGTCCTCCAGAGGGGTTGGTGCCTTTGCCCTGTTTCCGAACCAGGGAGTCTGGGGCGAGGCTGCTGGTCAAGTGGAGGCTCTTGGGAGTCCCAGGAACATTATTTCCTTTGCTCAAAGGGGAACTCAAGGGAGAAGAGGCGCTTGAAGGTCCAAAGTCAGCAAGGCCAGCAGGCCGAACCATAGATGTCTGCAGAGGACTGCTGGCAGAGATTCCTGTGGGGATGGAGCAAGAAACAAGAGTGTGAGCACCATCCTGTCTGAGCTGCCTCAGGGCCTGACCCTGGTTGGCTACTGACGTCTGGACTGGAGGAGAGGTCGTGGGGAACCCTTCCTGCTCTTCTTAGCATATTTGCTTGCTCTTCTTGTCAACTTTTTTTTTTTTTTTTCAGTAAGAGGGATGTATTTTTAAGAGAAATACAACACCTACTCAGGCCTCCCTGCATTACCACATCAACAGGGAGTGAGTAAGACCACCCTGGTGCTCAAGGACGGAGCACACGTTGGGCAGCCGAGGGTGAAGGTGAACTCTAACTTACTAGGCACTTGTGCACTTTCTGACATTCCTTCTTTCAACCTGGGACACCACTTGTGATTAGCTGCTTATTAATTTCAGGGGATATTCTCCAGTCCCCAGTCCGGTCAGAAGACACGAGGCTACCTACTCTGCCCTGTGTTCACACTCATACGGTTCTCCTGGTGCTGTTCTCCATGCCCTGCCACCTCAGGGACCCAGTTCCAATGTTTCGTCTTCGTGATGGCTTCCGGGGCAACAGTGAACTCTTTTTTCCTTGTATGAGGCAAATCCACTTACATCTGATAGCACACTAAAATGGTATTTTGAAGGTTTCTTGTGTACTGGTTTTACTTTGCTAAAAAGAACTCTAAGTGCTTGCTGGGCCGATGTGTCTTTTCTCATTCACAGCAGAACTGCAAGTAATCCCTGAAGCAGTTCCTTCCCTTGATTTCATTTCCAGTTATTGAGCACTGTTGATTGTTCTTTTGAAACTACTCCTTGTTGCCCCCCTTGCCCCCTAGCCCCCTTCGCAGGTCAGGTCTCCAGGAGAAAGCCTGATGAGTGTCATTTTTTGCCCATCCATAGGTGAGATCCTGGCAAGATTGCTGTTTTCCACAGATGTGATCAGGGTTAAGAAACAGTGGCCTAAGCTCTTATCTTCATATTTGTTGAATGAACAAGTAAGTGAAAGCCAACACTCCTGCAGCAGGAAGAAGGGGAGGTGACTAATACTTACTGAGCATTCTCTCTTCCATATGCCCTTCCTTGCTACAAAAGCCCTATGAACTAAACACTAGGCTCATGTTTTAAATGGGTCCACAGGTCTGTAAACGGGAGCCCCCTTTCTACCAGCTCAGATGCCCTACATTCCATTGCTGTATCTTCCACCTGTCATGGCCACTACAGCCGCTTTCCTTCTCAAACCTTCCAGAGCCCCATGTCACACCCCTGATAAACTCCTGCCTACCAGGTCGAGTCTTGCTAACTGTGACTCCCGTTACTTCAATGCAGCCTGACCTGCTTGGGGGTCCCCAACATGCCTCATCATCGCCAACACTGTCGCCAGTTCAAACCCTTGTCATCCTTCTCCTTTCTGAATTACAGTCTGGCTACTTTGTCTTCAGATCTGTGGTTCCTCCTCCTGCTCTACAACCACGATTCGGCCTCTCACCCTTTTTTCACTCAGTACACGTACATTGCCCTGTATTGCTGTCAAACACATTGCACGTACAGCTTCTCCTTCTCACTGCTCTCAGGCACTCAAGAGCAGGGGCTCTGTGTTATGCTGCGCGGCACGCAGCACTGAGTGCCTAAGGTGATGGACTGCACTGCTGGGTAAATGTTCAGTATGCTAGCCTGGGATACTGAAAGGCAATTACTGAAATATGGGTCTGGGAAGAAACATTAGTTCTCAAAGCAGGAAAAATTCTGACTGTTTAAAGTAGTATAGTCCACACATTTTCTCTGCCTTTTCACAGATACTTCCACCTCGCAGGACAAGGGGAGAGTCAGGAGTGTTCAACATAGAAGCAGAGCCCAACATGAGGTCTGAAAAGAGCTTCCCTGGCCTAGAGGTGTCATACCTGCGCTACCTGGCAGTGTTCAACAGACCTTCCAGACTGTGCCTGACCAGCATGGAGCCAGCACGGAGCCAGCACAGCCCCCTGGGCCTCCATACCTTTAGACACGTTGTACCCGTATGCTGCATAGGCAGCCGCAGAGGCTGCCGCAGCCCCCGCTTTGGCTCCTGCCATTGCAGCAGCACTGCCCGCGGTGGACTTTCTGCTTCGGCCCTTCCCTGTTCCTTTGGTTGTGCTTCCTGAACCTTTAGGGCGGCCTCGGCTTCGGGCTGAGTGACCACGTCCTGCAGCTGGCATTTCCTGAATCGAAATTCCTAATGAAACAAATGGGCCGAAAGGAAAAAAAGTCAATTTCTTCATATGTTAACAGAATCTTCCCCTGACAGGGAAGGCTGGCTCTAAGGGTGTTTGTTTCAGGACCTTCAGGGAAGTCTGTGTCCTCATTTAATGGCTGGGCCACCAAGTCACGAAGAGTTAGTAGAATTTCTGGACAGCTAAAACAGGTTGACTCAAGAGTGGTTCTATTACTACCGAATCTCTTCTTTAAATGAGATCATCACTAAACGAACCCCAGGGACTGGCTACCTGATGCCCACCCATACTCTACAAAGTGTGCATGCCTCAGAGAGTCACTGCTGACTGCCGAGTTTTAAACCTAGAGCTCCTCAAACAGTATCAACACTGGGCCCCACAGAACAAACTAAGAAAAGACCCAGAGAAGCTAACTAAACTAGCAAAAATAAGGGTGAAGTATGAAAGAAAACAAAGGAGTTTGAGGCTTTATAAAGTTGTCATTTTGCTTTCCTTAAACCTTCTTTCTCCTTTTCACTTTGACAAGGCTAATGAAAGAATGAGCCAACAAATTCTTTTGGCTCCATGCCACGCTTCTTTAAAGAACGTAGAAAACACCACTGTCCTAGAAGGAATCAGGACCTTATCTCATGTCTAAAACAATGCTTTTCTTGAGGCAGTGGACCAGGCCCAAGTAATGCAGAACAGCAGCATCACTTACCGTTCACGGTGTCCGAGACAGAGCCTGTTATGGAAGCAGGAGAGTTGGTAGCTCGAGACTGAGGGGCTGAAGAGGCTGGGTCATCCACGATGACCAGCATGTCACTGCTGCTCTCGTCAGGGGGAATGGAGCCCGTGTGCAGCTCACTGCTGATGGAGATCTAGAGCAGGAAGGATCAAGACCACCACCGCTAGTCCTTGTGCCCACAGCCCATGGCCCTTTGACCTACATGAGGGTGTGCTTCAGAGGTCTGGCCACTATTTCCCTCTCCTGCCTGGCTTCACTCGTGAGGGTTAGATACCCTGCTTTGACTGCAGAGAAGGCAGCCTGAACTCATTTGCTTTTTTCCTTATGGATTCTACATGCAACCCCCTTCTAAAAGGCAGGAGGACTCCAGGAGAAGCAAAGCCTGTAAAGTCAGAACAGTCCGCCTGCTGTGATGAAGGCGTCTAACAGGAGCCTCACCTCACTGAAAGGGCTGGGCATGGCCGAGTCCACGCTAATGAAGGAGTCATCTCCATCAGCTGAAAGGTTGGAGTTGTCAGCTGAGGGAACAAATGGGATCACCAAGTTCACACCCTCCTTTCTCCGCTTTCCATCCAATTCATCTTCCTTTTTCTTCTGGAAACACACAAAACAAGAAATATGGACAAATCATGAAGATAGGCACCAAAAATTAATTGATAAATTAATTTATCAGAGACAAAATCAGAGACAAAATTAATGATAAAAATTTGACTTTGTAAACTTCTAGGTTTCATTTTTTGCAGTTAGTGTATTTTTAAGGAAAAACCTCAGGAGAGGGACGGCTTTACAAGAGTTTGTGTACGTTCTGCCACAGTAGCACAGACTGAAAGGCAGGCCAGTCACACAGAACCACAGCTGCGTAAGCCCACTCCTCATGGTCAGAAGTGCACGGCCAGCCCGTGGCGCGTCCGAGCAGCAGCACTGAACAGGAGTTGAACTGATGCAGTCTTATAAGAGGGAGGGCTAATGTCTTTAGCATATTTTTCTGTACATCTGTTTTTACTCTCCCTTTTAAAAAAATATTTTATTTATTTATTTTTCAAGAAAGGGGAAGGGAAGGAGAAAGAGTGGGAGAGAAATATCAATGTATGGTTGCCTCTTATGCGTCCCCTGCTGGGAACTGGCCTGCAACCCAGGCATGTGCCCTGACTGGGAATCGAACCGCGATACTCTGGTTCACAGGCCCGTACTCAATCCACTGAGCTACACCAGCCAGGGCTACTCTCCCTTCTTTTTAAATATGCATAAGGAGAGTGAAGGTTCTTACTACACCCAAGGAATAATGGATTTTGTCATTATTTCCTCAATTTACATGTAAAAGCTTGAGAGTTGAGTGACTGAGCTATACTTAGGATTTCTAGAATCAAGTTTAGCAGGGCTTTGTCACAGACCAGAGACCTGGAATCAGTCACACAATGTATTTGGGAAATTCTGGGGACCATATCCATGTACTGTACCTAATGGCCTTTGTTTCCACACCTCTATTAGGATTAATATGGTATACCCTTTGTGTAGCTTATATTATCACTGGGTATTTATCTGAAACTTCCATGCTCAGAGCAGGGATGACATTTAATGCAAACCTAGTAAACCCTACAATGTCCTGGATGAGAAAACCATCTTTTCTCCTTTGATAATGTTTCTGAGTGTTAAAGCTATTTCAATACTAAATAGTATTAAGTAATGGGTTAGAGATGTGAGGATGGAGTCATAAAAGAGAATCTGAGGAATTGGGTAAAGACGGCAGTCCAGGCCAGGAGGAACATGATCCCTCATTCCTGGGACTTCTCAGGTTTGTAACTGTAGTATGTACCAGGGGCATTCTTCAGGCTGGTAATAGTTCTGCTTAGCAGAAGGTACGATCAAGGGTGTGGATTTTAAAACAGAGTCACTGTATCTACTGGAAGATGACCATATAATATACACAGGCTTCTAGGTTGCTGACCATCAAGGCCCTATGGCTGGACATCAGGTCCAATACAAGTGTGGGTAAGGCGAAGAAGCTGACCTCCACTTAAAACAACAAACTTTAACATGTGGCTAGATAAGCAATATGCTTCACATAAACCAAACAGTCCAAGGAAATGGGGCACATGCAATTGTCAGAGCTACAGAAATGCTTGAAGCTCAGGGGGCTAACCTGTTCAAGAGGGGGCTGCATCAGGGCTGGGGAAGATGAGAAAGTCAGTGCAACACAAAGGCAGGGCAAACCCACCAGGAAAAATACCTTCTAGAATGCAGTAAAGTGGTTCTAAACCACCAATCCTTGGATGTACAACCTAGTCAGAACTAATGGGCTAACTCCTGAAGTAAGAACAAGTCCGGAGGGCCTCATTTCAGACTTACATGTCAATGAGGACCAGGGATAAGGATTACCAACATAATACTTTAGTAGAAACAGCAAGTTAGGGAGAAATGTAGGGTAACTAATGTAGGGTAACTACTTTTCACTTTGCAGTTAGCCTGGTGGGCTCAAGCAGAAATGTCAAAAGGGAGACAGAAACAGTTCAAATCCTTGGCATAAACTGGAGAAAAAGAGATGTACAAAACCAGACCGGCCAGAGATTTATTTTTCCAACAGTAGAGGACACTGTGATACACTAGCAGAATCATGGTAGAAGGGCAAGATCTAATGACCCCTGAAGTTCTTTCTAAGATTCTATGGAATCTAATAATGTGACATCTATCTTACCCACACCAACCTCATGATTCTGTAACACCCTGACAAACGGTTTCCATAATCATATGTGACTACAGACAGGAGGGTTTGTGTTGGGAGTACAAGTCTACCATGGCTGCAGTTCTCATCAAATGTCAAGAAGCACAGAACTGCTAGGTATTGCACACAGCTGAGCTGGATAACCAACCAGTAACCGAGATGATGAGACATGTATGAAGCCTATTTGTAAGTACCACCCGGCTCCCCGCTTCAGTCCTTGTCAGCCACCCAAGTCTGAGATACCTTCTCTGCATATTTTTCCCGCTTGCGCTTGCGCTCTTTGACTCGGTTGGTTTCTTCCTGCTGCCGTTTCTCTTCTTGCCGCAATCTTACTATCAGGAAAATCAAAAAAAGCTCTGATAAAATATCTGGGGCAATCATAATCCTCATTCTTTGAAAATGAAGTGGTCATATCCTTTGATATTTACATTCCAAAGTAACACTTCTATGTGACCAAGGCAGACAACTTGTAGTTTTCTAACTTGGAGAAGGAACTGAGCTCTTGGATTCTTAACAGGTTGTTATTGGTTCAAACCATGATTCAGTTTAATTATTATAAGCCTTTCCTTGCCTTTACTTTTTCCTTTTTTCAGCCTTTCAACAGCTCTGCACTGCACAGGTCAAGTGTGCTTCTGAATCCCAAAATGTTTTTAGAATGTGGTGGCAAATGTGAGCACACAAGACAGGAGCGCCACTGCAGTTTCTGATGTGATGCTGCAGAAGTCCTCAGAGTCCTCAGAGTGTGAAACCCACTGTTCCCCCAGAAATAAATGGGAGAATGGTTTGTATGATACAGCAGCACGCTTCTCCATTAAAAGATTTCTCCAGGCAGAGCAAAGTAAATACATTATTGCTAAGGAGTCTAGGGATATAGCCTTCCTGGTGCAAATTTATTTGAAGTCCTATTACTTAAAAAATATATGTGAATTTTTCCTTCTAATCCATAACATGTCTTTATTTCGGTTTTAATATAAAATATTAACATAAAAATGTTTATCCCCAAATACAGTCTTTGGCTTTGCCTACACCTGGCACACAGCCAAGAGCCTCTTCCTTTTTTAGAAGTGTGGGGCCTTTTTTAGAAGTGTGGGGAAAACATTTTTTGTAGGGAGGAGAGAGCATTCGTAAGAGGTTTAGGGTACGTACATTTCTTCTCCAATTCTTCATCATCTAGAAGAAGACTAACCACCTCTTTGGGTTTCAAGGTATCTGGTTTGAAGTTCCCACCAGAAATCACCATCCGCTGAATCTATATAAAAGCAGATTAAAAGGTCACAACCAGGCATCCATTCCATCTTGGCAAATCTCCAAAAGAAAGAAACATCCTTCTCGCTCTTCTGGTGAGGCCCCTCAATTTCTTATTTCTTTTTTTTATTCATCCTACTGGCTTATTCATTTCTAACAGAAAGCACAAAAGAACTTTGCTTGGGCAACTGATAGCTAGAAGATCCAATAATAATAAAGATGGGGAAAAAAATCCAAACAATAATTTCTTTGGAAATTAGCAAATTTGGCATACAATTCAGAGGCTGAGAGAACTAGGGTGAGAGCTCAGATGTTACCCCTTCTCCCCTGAATGTGGAATATGCCAAACACAACCATGACTGCTGCCCTCTCCACATGAGCAACAGCCACACACCTAAGACGTAAACACCACTGTGGTGGAAAAGGAGTAAGGAACAACCAGTGCAGCTGAGATCACCCCTACGTAGGACCTGATCTTTTGTTTCTTTTTCTTCCTTTTTTCCTGATTTTATTTTCTATCCAAAAAAAAAAAAGTAGCCCTTTCAGACTAATAAAAAGCAAAGATCTTAGTCTAGTCAATGTGACTGGATTGTTTTATTCACCAGTGTAGTACTTCCTTTGCCTCGTGCTTACCTCACTCTTCTCCTTGGCTCTCTGTAGGATGCGCTCTTCAATGGTGCCTTTACAGATGAGCCGGTACACGGTAACCTGCTTTGTCTGCCCCAGGCGGTGGGCTCTGTCCATGGCCTGCTGGTCCACAGTGGGGTTCCAGTCACTATCATAAAAAATCACCTGCACAGACAGGACAAGAATACAGCAAAGGCTGAGGCACTCTTAGCATAAAACCAGGAATTCTGAGAGTAACATGGCCTCTCATCTCTTTGCAATGTTTAATGCCAGACATTTTTTCCTACAATATAAAGATGAGCAGGTGTGCATTATAAAACCAAACCAATCCTTCACTCACCCTGGGCAAGAGAGAGACTCTGAACTTCCCCCCCAAATTTCCATTTAAAAAGATGGAGCAGCAATAATATTAATAGTTAACCCTTAGCCCTGGCTGGTGTGATTCAGTGGATTGAGTGACTTTAAAAACAAAAAGTTAACACTTACTGCTTACTATTTGCCAGTCATTGTTCTGGGTGCTTTTAGTGTATTCATACACTTAAATCACATAATCGCTATGATTTAGGTACTATTAACACTCCATTTTATTTTTTTCAATTAAAAATTATTTATTTATTTTTAGAGAGAAGGGAAGGGAGGGAGACAGAAAGGGAGAAAAACGTCAATGTGTGGTAGCCTCTCATGCGCCCCTTACTGGGGACCTGGCCCACAACCCAGGCATGTGCCCTGCCTGGGAATTGAACCAGTGACCCTTTGGTTCACAGGCTGGTGCTCAATCCACTGAGCCACACCGGCCAGGGGCACAAGACCCTACTTTAGAGAAAAGGAAACTGAAGCACAGAGGAATTGAAGAATTCATCCAAGATTACACAGCTTAAGTAAGCGGCAGGCTTGGGATGTGAGGAATGGGAGAGCCTCCTCTTTCACACTAGGCCTACTGTGATATGAGACATGTATGGCTTTCATGAATTTTCAGGCTCCCACCAAAAGGGTAATTTCTTGTCCCTTGAATGCTAAGGAGGACATGTTCAAAGGTTCCTTGGAAGCTACTCTAGTTTGCTAAACAATAACTAACAACAACAAAACACACTGCCCCCTCCCCATCCCATTAAGTGATCCTAAAATCAACAGGCTCCTGGGTCCTCAGCCCTGAGGCCACCATCCACCACAGTAGATCCCTTGCAGGAAAGCCAGTTCAAAATGGCCCTCATCCCTCATGTATCCTCCTCTATATTTAATCAAGCCACCATGTCCGGCCAGTGTTTCTTGAGAAATGAACCCAATCCTTTTATAGTTTCCCTGTCTCTATTCTGGACTAGGTGCTCACTACCTATGCCTGGTTCACTAATGCTCTCAGACCAGCTCCCTAGTGCTTCCTAGGTTTTAGCACACTTTGGGTATAATTCCAGACTACTCTCCTCTCTGCCAGCTATGCCGTAATACATCAAGTCCAAACTCCCCTTAATAATCAGGCCCTACCGCACTGAGCCAACTTCATTTCTATTCTTTCCTAACACAAAGACACCCTTTCCCTTTCGTCAGATGGGTCTCTTCAGTGTTCCTCACTTGTATTTCACTTGTTTGTACCACTGGTTGCTCAAGCTGTTTTTCTGACCTAGAATCCTTCCTCTCTTCTCTGTTGGTCCTTTAGATTTTGTTCAAGCTTTACCATGTTCAGGAAGGCCTCCCTGATTTCTCTTGCCTATAACAATGTCTTCTTTTCCTATTCCTCATGAATTTCTATTAAAAATAATAATAGCTAAAATCTGTTGAGCAGTTAAAATGTGTCTGGCATTAGTGTGTACACATATCTCATTAAACTTTCACAAAAACCCTATGCATTTCCTTCATCTTATAAATTAGAAAGAGATTGGCCTCAGCTAATGGTGCTAAAAGTCTCTCCCCGACAACCTGCTCTATTAACAATACCTTGCATTTTCTACCCTGGTCCAAGTTTCCATATAATCACTGACTATCTTCCATAATTGTTTGATTACTTCATGGGCACTATTTAAAACAGCTGCCCATCTAGATATTTTAAATGGGACAGACAAGATGCATCAGTGAAAACTAGAATCCCATAGGTACTAGTCGATTGATACTAGAACATCTAAGGAGGTTGATCAAAACTGGATAGAGCTGCCCTGGCTCATATGGCTCAGTGGGTTGAGCATCAGCCTATAAACTGAAAGGTCACTGGTTTGCTTTGGGGCCAGGTCTCCAGTTGGGGGTGTGCATGAAGCAATTGATAGATGTTTCTCCCCCTCTTTCTCCCTCCCTTCCCCTATCTCTAAAAATAAATAAAATCTTAAATAACAAATTCAGAGCCTAAAAATGTAGACTGAAAAGTGATTTGTCTCTCTTGAAACTATTTCTCTATGATGCTCTTCCCATTGCTTAACACTATTCCTAAATGATTTATTTGTTCTTTCATTAAATAATGGAAGCAATTCTTCTATTCTCTGAAGAATTCAGACTGCAGGTGAAGATGAACAAAAGGCATCAGCACTTCCTTTTTGTTAATCCTCACCTGAGAATATGTTTATTGATTTTAGAAAGAAGAGGGAGAGAGTGAAACACCAGTGTGATGTATCAATCAGCAGCCTCCCAAAACACGCCCCGACCAGGGACTGAATCCATGCAACCTAGGTATGTGCCCTGAACTCACAACCTTGTGGTGCTTGGGAAGACGCTGCAACCAACTGAGCAACCTGGCCAGGGCAGCATCAGCATTTTCAATGCTTTTGCCTTTATTAATTAAGAACCCCCACTGGTCCCTTTGTCTTGCTTCTATACGAGGTAAAATCCCTCAAGTTTTAGTATAGAATTCTTGGGGAGAAAATGAGAAACTGCCTGCTGAAGAAATATATCATAATGAAAGCTTGTTAATCCATAATGTCCACAGACCTAGAATTTTCACGTGCACAATGCTTTCACTTGTAGAGAAGCATAGCAAAGCTGACCACAGGAAATTTTGGAGCTTCGATAAGATATGCAAAATTCTAGGAAATCCAGTTTAAACTTCCAAGAAGAAGAGAAGACAGTTGATGAAAGGAAACAGCTTGCCCTGGCTGGTGTGGCTCAGTGGATTGAGCACTGGCTTACGAGCCAAAAGTGTTGGTTCAATTCCCAGTCCCAGTCCCTGTGCCCAGGGCACAGGTCTTGGTTGTGGGCTGGGTCCCCAGTTGGGGGGCATGCAAGAGGCAACCAGTTGATGTTTCTCTCCCTGTCTTTTTCCTTCCCCTTTCTCTAAAAATAAATGAACAAAATCTTAAAGAAAAAAAAAAAAAGAAAAAGAAACTGCTAATTGGACTAGGGGGGAAATATTACTTGCTTAACATACCAAAATGTGGAAAAGGAGAGCTAATGTCATACCTAAAACATAGAACTTTTACTTGTTCAAGCCTGTGGCAATGGTTCAGCACCAATTCATAATGGGGAGTCCTATATTATGAATCATTTCATAGGTGCTTCCTTAACACTTCTATTTTTCCTGGAAGTCTCAGCGGCAACCAAACCTGATTCAGCTTGGGTTCTTTTGAGCTCATAAATAAGAAGATTAAATAAAGCCTAAGGAGATAGGTTTGCAATTGAACTTTATGTCCCCTCCCCACCAAATTCAGTGGTTATTTATCATTTGAATGGATTAAAAGATGTGAGGGATTTTAGGAGGGAGAGAGAATAAAATAAGATTCTATTTGGAAAACTTCTTAACCAGGGGAAAAGAATATAAAATATATGTAAGTTAATAAGCTGAAAGAAGAATGAGAACTAAAAACCAAACTACATGTATGATTATCTCATTTGACAGTAAAATTAATATTGAATCAACCATGACTTAAATTTGGGGTAGGGCTGGGGAATGGAGGAGACAATCACAGTGGGACTGAGAAGACACTGTGTTCTGTAATCAGGTTTATGGAACTCAGTGAGGCATTCTAGAGAAAAACAAGTAACAATGGAAGGATTAGAACAACTGTCTTATAATTAGGAAAGATTAAAGCAAGTCAATCCACAAAGCATAGCTCAGCAATGACTAAGGGCAAATATATTACTGGTTAGCACCTTCATGAAGTTGTAAACGCCACACTGGACAGGAAAGACAGCAGGAAGGTGAGATCAGGTGAGGTGGAGCACCTAGCTATACATAGGTCAATGAGAGGAGTTGCAGGGAATGAGGAACTGAAATGGAAAACAGGAAAATTTCAAAAGGAACCCCCCCAAAAAAGGACTAACACTTGGAGGGTAGAAGGAACTCTTTCACTTCCAAGAGAAGGGATGGAAGTTCAGGCCCTTGGGAGGGCTGGCAACTGTCCCATGTTGTCTCAAGGGACAAAGGACTTCTCACATTGCTACCAATGAACAAAAGCTCCTCAATCCCTCTCTACACACGTCAGCATTTAAAACAGGTCTGACACCAACAAAACAAATAGTGCAGGTCACAAGAGCCCCTCACCGAACAAAGTTAAATGCAGAGATCCCTACTTCAGCAAGAATACGCAAAGAACAACACAGCTAGTAAAGGGCAGCTGCCATTAATCACATGCTAAAACCATGTTTTTACCAACAGTGGGCCAGAGTCCCACTGTTTATAAATACATGTTTATATATGCATTCTCAATCATGAGAGACTCGATTTTTACTGACATTTTAGGCTGACTAACCTCTTCCTTATCCATAAATGGTTCTGGGTATCTTCCAAAGCTAAATAAATCTTGGGACAAAGGAAAAATGCCAGGCAAGCAGTAAGGCCTATTGTTTTTCTACTAATACAGAGTATAACCTGACTTCACACAAAGCTTAACCTAGGAATTCATTTCAACCTGTGGTCTCATTTTTCTGAGTATTCCAGAAGGTTTTAATTTACAAGCGAATCCCCAAGCTCTCCTTTCAAAATTAAATGTAAATTATTTTGGAATTGGGAACTCAGAATATTCAGACCCTCTCTTTAGTCCCCAGCATGAAAAGGGAATTCCTATTTCTACTCTTCTAGCTATGTGTTAAGGGGGCTATTTTGGTTCTTTGTGGCTGGCAGGAGCTTTTACCCCCACAAGGCAAACCCCATGAACACTGTAAACAGGATGCAGATCTCAGCCCCTCTCAAATCTGCATATTTTTGGATCACTCAATTGAATAACTAGAAGTACTATTCCTTGAGGAACCATAGACCAAACCTGAGACAGGCATTTTGAACAAATAAACTTATCCAGCCCCATGGCCTTAAATGGTCATCTCTGACCTGATGATTCCAAAATACATCTTCAGCCCCAATCTCTCTCCTAAACTCCAGACCCTGTTGCTTGGGTGACGCTGTCACTTAGTGTCTGCTAAGAATCTTGAACTTAACCCACCCCAAACCAAATTTTTGAGTCTCCCAATCAAACCTGCTCCCCACCCCTGAGCAATATTTCCCTTAATCAGTTACTGATATCTCCATCATTCCAGTTGCTCAGGTCAAATAAATTAGACTTTTCCTTCATACCTCCTCTATGTCCCACATCCAATCTAGCAGGAAACTCCACTGGTTGTGCCTTTACATGCTGATTCCAATTATTTTTCACCACCTTCACTGTTTTAATCCTTGTGTCTAACTACTAACTGAACTTCTTGCTTCTACCTTTCTCCCTATAGTTCTCCCCATCCCTAAGCCAGAAGGACACACGGAAAACTCAAGCCAAATTATGTTACTCTTCTGTTCTAATTCTTCCAGTGGTCTCCCATCTCAAAATCCTTACTATGGCCTACTAAGCCCTCCATGATCTGCCTCTGCAATATTCATCTCACATCACTCTGCCCCTCATTCATCCTGTTCCCTGTTCCACCTACACAGGGCTGCTTGCTGTTGCTTGATTATGCCAACCATGTTCTCACCTCGGGGCTTTGCATTTATCTCCTCTGCCTGGAATGCTCTTCTTTCTGTCAGATAAATGCTTGGCTCACTTCCTCACTTTCTTTAGATCTTGGCTCAAATGTCATCTTATTGGAGAAGCTTTACCGGCCCATATAACACAGTAAGTTCTGATCAAATATGGATCAAACCCTGACCAGGTGGAAGAAGAACAATCTATTCTAAGGGAACAGTTTATGCAATAGTGAGACACTGGATGGGGTGTTCAGGAAAACTACAAGTCAATCATTTATGAAACAATTTAAAAAAAAATTTATTTACTTTTAGAAAGAGAGAAAGAGAAACATTAATGTGCCAGAGAAACACTGATAGGCCTCCTCCTGCACATCCGCAGCTGGGGACCTGGACTGCAACCTACCCCTGTGCCCTGACCAGGGTTCCAACTGGCTTTTGGTTTGTAGGCCAGTGCTCAATCCACGGAGCCACACCAGCCAGGGCTATAACATAAATTTTAGAAGGGAAATAATCTGGCAATTAGACTGGAAAGAGAGATAAAAGCCACAAAATGAAGGACCTTGTATGCCATGCAAAGAAGCTTATTCGTTACCTCATAGATGATGGAGATTCCCTGGTTGTAAGCAAGGGAGTGGCACAGTTAATAAAGAAGGGTATAATTAGTAGGTATGGGGCTGGGGGCTGAGGGCTGAGACTGGAGTCCAAAAGATCGGCTAGGGCAAAGTAATGAATCTTGTACTCACACTGAGAGTATGACTAAGTTGGAATTGTACAAAATGCTTACAGAGAAGCAAGGGGCAAAGAGAAAGCCAAGTTTCTGCTCTCTGATATGGCTCCAAGCTACCATATCAGAAAACCTGTAAAAACAGCCATGCAAGACAGACAGATGTCCCTTAAGATGACTGAGGCTGATGATGTGTACGTTAAGATACAGAATCTACCTAGCTATACCCTAGTGATCCTCAGGCTCTGGAGCCTTGTCCCAACTAGGTTAACTGGCTGAAGAGGTTTAAATGCCAAGGAAGGTATGAATGAGTCCTATGGCTGCGATCAGAAAATGTTTCATTCTTGAAAGGAGACAGTTCTATGGTATTGTCAATAAGGGGAAGGAGTGCACACAAGCCTAGGAGTGGAGACAAAAAAATATGGGATCTAGTTCCAGCTCTGCCTCTCCACCCTTGTATTTCATTTCTCTATAACCCTCCAGAGTTTGCATCTTCCTCATACTTGTGAGAATTTTGATGCTCTGTATTTCACAGAGAAGCACCAGAACCACACAAAATGACATTTTTCAGAGGCATGTGTTCTGCAAAACAATTTCCCATTTGCGCATTTTTATGTCTCAAGATTACTGAAATTGTTATTAAATATATTTGAATCTTGCCCTGACTGGTGTGGCTCAGTAGGTCAGGCATCACTGTGCAAACGGAAAAGTTGCAGGTTCGATTCTTGGTCAGGGCACATGCCTGGGTTGTGGGCATTCGAGAGAGGCAACTAACTGATGTTTCTATCTCTCTCTTTCTCCCTTCTTTCCCTTCTAAAAACAAATAAAACAACAACAAACAAACATCTGAATCCTGGGAATAGTTCTGAGATTAAAAAAAAAAAGTTATCATCTCCCTTTCAGATGCTAAAGTATTCCTTGAGGAGATTGGATATGAAAGGATAGACCATTTGATGAAATGTCTTTTATATATACATATATATGTTTTAAATTACCAATTTCATTGCTTTCCAACCACCTTTTGAATTTTGTGATATAAAAATATGAATTTTTCCTATGGTGAAAAAATACATAAGAGTAATAAAACAATCCTTCCTGATTTGATCAGTTATAGCTCCTAGATGGATTGACTGATTTTTTTTGTCTGTTTATTCAATGACATACTCCAAGTGCTTGCTCAGTGACATACTGCAGGTGTTTAGACACACAGTAGGCATTCACCAAATATCTGCTGAATGAATGTATAAGAAATTTATTCCAACAGAATGGGTAGAAAAGTCCAAAGGAAAGCTAAAATGTTCCGTTCCAGACAAAGTGTGACTAACATAACTGAAGGCAAAGAAGAAAGAAGTTTGTGATACAAAGAGAGGGCAACACCAACCGAATAACATATTGAGAGCAGAGAACTTGCACATCCAGCGTACTGTGCTCTCATGACTTACTGTATCTGCGGCAGTGAGATTGATCCCCAGTCCGCCAGCACGTGTGCTCAGCAGGAACACAAAGATGTCATTCCTGCAGAAGAGGAGGTAGGTGTATGTTTAGAGGAAAAACTGAAAAAGAAAAATGGCACGTGGCATAAAAGAGGAATCTCTGAATAAAGAACAACATTTAGGGCTAGAAAGAGTTTTGGTGGTTGCCTAGGCCTGATCTAATGTTTCTTTGACACACTACACAAAGGTGCTCTGTTGCCAAGATCAAACCACGGTTATCATCTTCCACACTGCAAATATACTTTGCCCACTAATATTGATTAACAGGCAATATAATTATAAACATGTAGCAAATGTAACAGAAAACTATGTTATCATGGAAGTAGAGACCTTTCTTTAAACTTAACAGTCATATTTTTAACAAGTCATGCCATTCACAGTTCATGCAGAGGAGACAGATAAATCAGTATTTTCCTGGTGTTTCCCCCAAGAATTAAAACCTACAATAATTTGAGTACTAATTATTATTTCAAAGCACTCATTTTTAGATGAAAAGTCAGTCCCGGAGAAACAACTCAAGACTTGGGTCTTGGATTAAGACCCAAGTCATGACTTCTGTGTACATTTCAAGCTGAACTCAGGATCAGACAGACTACAATTAAAGTACTTTTTGATCAATGCCAATACAGCCCTTACACAGAAACAATCAGATAAAGTTTTCTGTTTCCATGTACTTTTAAAGAAATCTAGAATAACAATAAACCAGTAGGTGCCACTGTCACTCATTCAGGTAACAAATATTTATCAAGTATCTTTTAGGAACAAACATATGCCAGATTACAAAAAGCAGGCTTTCACTGTAGGATTATCTGTGTACGCACATACATATACGGGCCCAGTCTGAACCTAGTTCTTGCAGATGACATAAACATATTTTAAGATTATCTTGCATTTTCACATTCCTGCCACCAATGCTCTTTTCTAGAACATTTCTAAGGGAATGCATCATACTGGTGAGCAAACTTTACCAGCCTTTAAATCAAGCTGCTAATCCCTTTCCATTATGACTATAACAAGAAATACAACCAGAAATTCATTTAGATTGGTGTTATTCAAATTGCAGGTCACACCTATCACTGGGCATGAAATTAATTTAGTGGATCTGGACTGATTAAAGAAATAATTTAAAGAAAGAAAGAGAACAGATTAGAAAATATAGTATATCATCACAGGTCATAGGGAAACTACTGTTTTGTGAAATTTCAGGTATGGTACCAAATCCTAATATAAAATGAGTTTTATTCTTTGACTTCGAGTAAAAAATATGGAAACACACTGACATCAAGTTGCTTTCATCCCCTGATGCTGTTCTTTCTTGAAAAAAATCACCTGACTGCTGACAGTGTATTTATGGGATATAAAATAGAGATGCTCTGAATACAGCTGAAGTGACTAACTGATGACATATCAACAGCCAACATGAGTATCAGAGAAGAAGCTATTTTGAAATAAGCTTCCTGGTTAATCACCAAGCTGGACAGGTCCTAGTGGAATCTGTCCATTATTTGCATTTAATTAAATACAACTTTCCTAGAGGCATGCACAGAAAATTAGCATGTTTAGAGGTCTCTTGTAGGACATGATTTCAAAAGCAGTGTACTGTTATGAAAGTTCTACTAGTTTATCCTTGAATTTTATCATAAAGTTTAATGTTTCATAATTTTATTTATATAACTTATAATATGTCATGCCTTATGATTAAACCATACAGGGTAAACCATAAAGTTAAAAGATGTTGCTATTTAATAAACATTTCCCATAGTTGTGGGGTGATGTAATGGAACCTTGATACCTCACAGACCACAGGAGAATACTTAACCATAAGCCTTCAAATAAAAATTGGGCTTTCTAGGCTGCATTAACCTCTTGCCTTTGATAAGGTTTCTCTTCCTCACACATCTCTTTCTCCTGCTTTGGTGGATACAGAGATGGGGTCAGTGGTCAGAGGCTTCTCTCTGATACTCGTGTGAGAGCTGATGGGAGTCACCCAATGGCAAGAACTTTTTTGGCAATTCTGATAGAAGTCCAGAGCCTGGGCTTGGGTGGGGGTTGGGGAACAGGGATGAGACAGGGAGGGAGGTAGAAGGCAGTTGGTAACTATAATAAAAGAAATGGTAGAGGCAGAAAAACGAGCCATTTTCACAGTCTGGACAGCCAGGGAGATCAGACCCCAGATGTAGAAATCACTTATAAACAGGGACTATACATGGGAAAAGACACTTGTGAAAGGAATCTAGGTAAAAAATAAATTAGTGAAATTTAAGGCAACATGATGATTCGGGTGCCCTCTAGGGGTCTAAAAGGAGTCTCAACTCAGGGTCTGTGATGGAACAGGCCTTAGAGACCAGGCTTCCAAGTTGTCTATGAAATCACATGGCAAAGACATGCATGCCTAGGTCACATTCTCACTCTTCTCTGGTTAATGACTCCCTGAGGCCACTCTGCACTGTAGTACCCAAATAGTGCTGGGCATGTATCTGACTGCAGTAAATAGGCATGCTGAGCCAGAATAAAAGACGACACTGGAGTTCTACAACACTCTTACCAAGAGGGAGAAAAACGCACAGTATACTCACTTTTTCTACGGTTTCCCAAAGGTACAGCCTGAGTGGTCAGAATCTTTGGGGGGGGGGGAGGGTCCATTTGATAAATGTCACGGGGTAAGGAGTGAAGCCAAGGTCAAGGCACTCCAGAGCAAAGACCTTGTGAATGGCTTCTAGGATCATGCACTTGGTCACATGTTCTGAATGTTGCCCAGTCAGGACATCCTGGCCAAACAGTCTTTAGTCTCAGTCAGACTCTTTCCTGGAAGGATCCTTCATAAATAAATCTTGTATGAAGGGAATGTAAATGGCTTTTTATAGGAGTTCTTGTTTACTCTGGCTGACCTTTGAGCCTTAGGGCTTTCCAGTTGAAACTACAATTTTTTTCTTTTGATGTCTTTTCATTAATAATAATAAACAGCCAGCAAGCCATGCCTTTCTGTTTTCAAAATCACCTGTCTACTTCTCCCTCCGGGCCTACTGCAGCCATTCAGATTTGTAAGTTGAGAACTTTTCTCCCCATTTAGAGGGGTTTGCCTGATAAGTTTCTGGTCAGCATAGGCACAGTTAATTTTTATACCTAAGATATAGGGGATTATTTTTTAGCCGTAATCTCAACACTAATCACCTAGTTCATAATGTATGCAGGGAAGATGTTAGTCTGTTGTTCCATAGTTTGCCTAATACTAGATGGAGGGTGTTAGAATCATAGTTATTTAAATGTTGACCAAAAAACCCCCCTCACTACTCCCTAAGTAACTCTCAGCTGTAGGGTTTGGAAGCTCAAGTAAGGTTTCCCAGAAAAGCTGTGCAAAGTAAGATATTTAGTAAGTGAATAACAGTACAATTTAATGGTGAAAAAATCCTTCTTTTAGAGCTAAACTTTGCAAAACTTGTGCGTGCTATTGGGACTGCCCAAATAATTGCTTCACAAGTAAAATAAAAGATTTTAGGAGCCACTAATTAGTTGTATCTATTGATTCTTTCCCCACTGAAAGGTCACTAAAATATACTGAGCTCTGGGTCTCACAGTCCTGTTTTCTGGGAACTGAGAGAGCTAGAAGAGCCGTAGCATGACAGCTCAGAACCCAAAGCAGCAGCAGTCAGCACATCACAGCTCTGGTTGGAATCTAAATCAGCAGAAATTTCTATAAAGCAATCTGACGATATGCAAAGTCTTAAATACATTCCTTCACTCAGTGATTACCTTGTTTGAATCTATATTAATAATCTAAAATGGTGACAAAGCTTTATAAATGAAGATATTCTCTCATCATTTTCAACAACTACAGCACCCACCCCCAGTACAATGGAATACTGGTCACTAAAAATAGTGATTACAAAGACTTTTAAAATTATATATGATAATGTTTATGATATAGAAGAAACCAGGACACACAATCTTTACATGGCATTAATGTGTAAATATAACCACATTCTGCAGTGTATAATGCACTCACTCCCGTACATAATGTGCTCCCATGTTTTTGGCCCAAACTTACAGGGGAAAAAAAATCTTTCCTTTCAATTAATTAATTGATTCATTCATTCATCTACGGTTACTTATTTTTTATATTATAAAGAAATTTAAGCATTTATTTTTTAACATATTATGGCACAAGAAATTTTATGTAACAAAAATTACAAGACTTAAGAACAGATACAAGGTATTTCAGGCACTACCCATGTATAAGGCACACCCTTATTTTACCTTAAAAAATTTGGGCAGAAAGTGTGCATTATATATAGCAAAATATGGTACATTAACGAATAGAGGAATATTCCAAAATGTTAAAGTAGTGGGATTGTGGATGGTTTTTATTTTCTTCATTAATTATTTCTCAAACTTTCCTCAACAGGCATTTCATTATAATATATGACAATACTAATTGTTACTGGGGAAAAAAACCAGCTTTGGTGTTAAATGAAATCCTCAAATGTATACTATCAGACTTACCAGTAAAAAATAAACACAAACACTAGTAGGTGAAATACCCATTATTTAACAGTGTTTCTTCTCACACACAGCTCGTGCCGCCTCGTACCAGTGCACCCACACCAGAGGTGCTGGCAGGCCTGGAGAGACTGAAGGCACCCTGGGAACCATGCAGTCTACATAGTCTACGGGTCTTGTACATAAGATTCTTGTCTGTTGGAGCTCTTCGGTTGGAGTAGATAAGGACAAAGGAAAATATGTTTCATTTGATTTCAGAATCAAGAAATGAGGAACAGCTGGTAAATTTTTTGTGGGGGGTGGGGCGTAACAATGAGGTAGGGCTAGGAGGCACTACTATGCTTATATATGACAGATAATCAATTAAAAAATCTGCTGATAGGTTCTGCTAGGTGAAAAGCTAGGTTAGGCCATGTACACAGTTGCTCCAAGGTAATGAACAGAAATAGGTCCAAAGTAGATCTTCCCCTCCATTGTTGGTCAAACAGCCACCTAAATTCAGATGTATAGCTTCAACTTAGAAGTTGAATATACATTGTAAACCGACACATCAGGATATATCTCGTTACCTGTATTCTACTGTAAAGGACTGTGCAATACAAAAACTGTCCATCAAAGGACATTCTTTGTTGAACTATGGATTTGTTTTATGCTAAATTATTTTATGTTTGAAGTAAACCATGCATTAAAACCGAAAGAAATGAAAACAACTGTAAATACAAATGGATATGTGCTTAATTTTGTTCCCAAGAACTCAAAAGTTAAATATTAACAGTCTACACAATTAAAGGCCAGAAATTCAGAATGTTCTAATTTATAGAGTGTTGAGATCCACTCTATTCCTTAGTTCTCCAGGTTTAAGAAAGAAAATTAAGGACGAAGTTCAGCAGACCTGTCACTAGCAGAGCTTGGCTTTTTCCTTGGAGAGAGCAGTAACCAGACTCTGCTTATTACTATGAGAACCTGCACTTAGGATAATTATGGCTCTGAAAGCCATCGGCACCCAGCAGGCAGTATTTGAAATTTCATAGGCTCATTATCAGGTACTGTAACTGAGAGCTGCCAGTTGAATAGATTGCACACTACTGCAGGCTGTCATACTATGCTGTGCTAAAATGCTAGAGGGAAAGCAGGAAAAGGAAAGATAAAAAAACCAGCAACAACCTCATACAGTGAAACAGGTAGGCAAAAACAAGCTAAAATCAACTATAAGTTAACACCCAGAGATAACCGCTATTAAAATTTAGGAATATATAGCCCAGTGAATTTTTCCAACATACATATTATCCATATAAGGAGGGTCTTTGTTCATACTCAGAAGTCATTTTTTTATTGCCCCAAGAAATTGGCACTGATTTGGTAAGAGAGATTTCAAACACAAAAATGACCAAATATTCATTTTTTCTCTCACAGACACATAGATCTGAACTGTCATAAACAGAGTTAGCTAAAATGGCAGGAACTATCATAATCACTTAACAATCTGACATATGTTGGTATTTCTTTCAAACTCATCATCTCCAGCACTAGAGGAAAAGCAAAGATAATTTTTGTAATTCCTAATAAAATTACCTGTTCTGAAAATCAGCAACCATGTCCCGCCTCTCCGAGATCTTGGATGAGCCATCAAGCCTCATATAGGTATGCTTTCTGTAAACCATATATTCCTGCCAATCAAGAGTAAGTAGATATAAATCAGTCTGCTACATATTAGTGTATTCCAACTCACACAACCATCTACTCACCTACCTCATTCATACTAGGGGCAAGTCATTATATACAGAATGAGGAGAAAGCAATCTAAAAAATACAGGAATTTAATTTGTAAATGAATTGATTACAAAAAGTGTAAAAGTCAAGAGTAATGTGAAGACTACAACCACCCTCAATTTCAACTTGGAAACCAATCTTATTTCTGTAGGTTTCAGAAAAACAAGTAAACAAAATGAAATCTCTGAACCAAAATGGCTTTTCAGTCTCCAACCAGATGTTTCTCACAGCTATGAACTACCTAGTTTTCCCATGGTAAATAACACCTGACCTAATGTTTCGCTGGTGTTTCTCCTCAGTGAATCTTTGCTAACCAAAATCCTTGAATTTACATCCTAGACTTCCCTTTCCAGCAAAGCATGCATCACTGTTAAGGGAGGCCAAACCATCAGGGCAAACAGAAGACAAGGTAACTTTCCATGGCTGAGAATGTTTTTGACATCATGTATCAAGGAATCACAACTTTTAAGAATGAGTAAGAGATGTCAAGATCTATTTCCATTTTTAGAGGTTGCAATTCTTACAGATCATGTCCAAATGAGCACTGATTTCCTCTTTTTTGCTGCTGATTACTAGATTACATTTCAAAAAGTCCATTGTAGAGAAACTATTAGTAAGAATTCAACATAGCTGCCTATGTATATGAACTTGTATTGCAAAATTCTCATATGTAGTTTTTCTGGCTGGCTGGGTAGTTTAGCATACAAGGTTGCTCCAGTTTGGTGTGGCTGGTAGAGTTATGTGGCAGCCTGATCTTAGAGCAAGTACTCCAACCTCCTCAATGGCTTGGCAGAAGTCTCTCTGGCTAGGATAACTGTGAGGTGAAGCTAGTTGACAATGTTCACTGAGGACACATCATTGTGTTTTATATAAGTGTATATGTGTGTGTGTGTGTGTGTGTGTGTGTTTGTGTAGAAGCTTCTTTCTGTCTCCAGGTAGTTCTCTAAGGACTCTGATAATCAAGGAGGGGCAGAAAATATTTAGCCACAGGGAACTTCAAGTTCACATTTAGTGGTAGAGCCTTATAATGGAAGAGTGTTAGGGCAGAAGAGTAGGGGTATTTTGGATAAAGTGGAATTCAGGAAAGAAGATGAGTATGATGATGGCAGAAGATGGTCTTTAAAGGCTCATTATAACTTGGCGGCTAATCCAACCAGGGAATGCTGCCATCCAGAACAACAAAATAAGGAGACTATATAGACAGACACCTCAGATTTGGACTCTAACCAAAGGGTGAGCTTCTTGCAAGGATCTATTTTACCTTTTAAACCAGAACTTCTAAGCTCAGTGAGAATAATGAATGAATGAATCTTCTTGTAGATCTTGCTGTTTACATATCATTTATATATCAAGGTCAACACAACACCAGAGATATTGGTCCTAGACCATAATCAAAACAATGCTGATTACAGACAGCCTGTTTGTTACTAAGGCAACAGAAAGGAATCTTTGCTGTTTACCACTTAAACCTATGCTTTCCCACCCAGGGGAGTGGTGGGATTTCAGAAGGTTTAGATCCTATTTCAGTAAATAGCCTCAAATCAAGTAAATGGACATGGAAAGAGCAGTTAAAAGCAAAGTAGAGAAAAGTCTACATTGTTATGCTATCTATAGAAAAACAGCTAACAGATAAAGAGTGAGCTAAAAAGGGAATTTTAATATTCCTGTCATTTACAAATTCTGGCTATACCGAAGCTATTCTTCTGGCTGTCTCTCTAAAAGTCTAGGCTGTTTGCAACCAGAAAGAAATGCCTAATTTTTTCAAGAACCGCAACCACTTCCATTCCTAGGTTCAGCCCTGACTGGTGTGGCTTAGTTAGTCTCGAAAAGTGAAGGGTCACTGGTTTGATTTCCAGCTAGGGTACATGCCTGGGCTGTGGGCTTGGTCCCTAGTATGGGTTTGTGCGAGATGCAACCAATTGATGTTTCTCTCTTTCTCCCTCCCTTCCATACTTTCTAAAAAATAAATAATACAAATGCTAAAGAATGATTTGATAATACTCATAGTAGTTTTTAAAATTTATTTTAAAAATCCATCTTAAAAGTCTATCTCAATGATGGAAACATCAAAAAGTTTTCTAAGATTTATCTTAAGAACCTTGCTTAATATATTCTTTTTAAAGCCAACAGTGGAGACCTGGTTAATTAGAAACTGTCTAAGATGGCACAACGTCCCCAGTCATCCTTCCATTCTCTGCAGTTTACTCATATGTCTGAGGACCATTGCTGGGTGGTTACTGCTTGCTGGATGACTTTACTGTGCTTTATAGGAACTGCGTCACAGTTCACCTGTACATTAAAGAGGGCTTATGGGACAGAAGACCAACCATTACCCAGTCCTTCCTTACATTAGGCGCCCTGTAGAAATTAAAAGTATCTCTCATTAAGTTCACTTTTGGTAATTAGGAAAGGCTTAGACAATAATCACCAGAATGATTACATTTCCTAGAGACTTGTCACAAGAATTCCTTTTGCTCCACTTAAAGCTGCAGAGAGAGAAGAGGAGCAAAGTGTAGGCCTCCTTCCTCTCCCAGGTCTCATGTATTTTAGTATCTTCCTTTAATTAACAGATATGAACACCAGTACTCCCAAGTGAAATTTTGTGCATTAATAATTATTAACCAAGTAAGTTCCAATACTGTTGAACTAACAAAATAAAAACTATGACTTTTAACATTTAGAAAATTTTGAGATCTATAAAGTTCTAACAGATACCATTTTTGAAAATTATTGAAGCTGCCAAAGGGGATAATGGACAAGATGTACTCTTAGCATCTGAGTGGTGATCCTCAACCAGGATTTTAAAAAATACCTGTGCATGGACCTGCCACAGGTATTCTGAGTCAGTAGGTCCAGGCTAGGGCCTGGACTGGTTATTTTATTTATAATATACTTATTAATCCAGAGATAGATAGATAGATAGATAGATAGACAGAGAGAGAGAGAGAGAGAGGAAGGAAGGAAGAGGGAGACAGTGAGAAATATTGATGGGAGAGACACATTGATTGGCTGCCTCCTGCACACACCCCAGTCAGGGACCAAAAACACAACCCAGATTGTGCCCTGACCAGTAACCAAACCTGCAACTTCCAGGTGTGCGGGATGACACTCCAACCAACTATGCCACATAGGCTGGGCCTGGACTGCTTATTTTTTAAAAAGCTCCAGAGATGATTGTAATATATACCCTATATCTGCAGTTAAGAACAACCAATACAGAGGAAAGGCAGGGTAGGGTCATGTAGAATCTTATTATTTCAGTATGGCCGTCAGATGAGCAGCACTAGCAATACCTGAAGTTTACTAGAAATTCAGAATAGAGGGGCCCACCCATACAAGTGAATCAGAATTTGCACTTTAACATGTATTACTTGTAAGTACATTTAAGTTTGAGAAACACTGTTGTATAACATACCCTTACGCTATTTTTAACACATTGAAACACTTTTTTTTCAAGCAAAAAAAGTGTTTCATCTTATATGAAACCCCTCTAATATAAAATAGGTAAAAAGCATTATTATTCTGGTTGATGAAGAAGGATAGGGAGCCCAGTGCCCCACCTGCTTAATCTCTACCTAGGTCTCCTACCGTCTACCCTACTCCACCAGCCTGAAACCTATTGTCTTAGAATACAAGTTGAGAAGACAGGTTAGTTTTGGATCACACCCATAAATCCTACTTTTAAAGCAGTGGCATGCAAACAGAGGTATCAGAGTAACTCAAAATAGCATCAGCAGGTGCTTCTAACTCCTTAAAATAAACTAAATAAAAGCAAACCTCACATACCTGATGGTGCAATACAAAGGGACTAGGTTCGTCTTAAAGTAGTAGCGATAATGTTACTGGTGAGCATTTATTGAGCATTTACTAAGTGACATTCACTATTCTACTTATTGTACTTGATTTTGCTTATCTATTTCTCACCACAGGCCTCAAAGGTAGGTGTTATTATTGTTACTCCCATTTTACAGATGCTAAGTAAGGTCTGTAAAGTGGCGCAGACAGCAGGTAACGGAGCTAGGATTAGAAACCAGGCAGACTGGTTCTAGAGCCTTTGCTTAACCCCTCCACTGTTTCTCAAATGGAACAAAGATGTACCACCACTAGTGAAAAAATGAAGGTGGGGTGGGGGGAGAAGCACATAAGGTCCTTAGTATATCTGTCCATAACCCCTACCCATCGCTGTCATAAAGAGAAGATAATTTGGCACATGGAAAAATAAAGGAAAATGCATATATCTACAACATGAACTTCCATTCTGAGACTTCTTTTCCATTTCAAAGTTGCCTCTGTTGTTCATTTTAACACAATTTCACAAAACATTTTTGGGAGGAAGACTCAGTATGATCCACAAACCTGAAGAAGTGGTATAACTACTTTCTTGGACATGCCCCTTTCCACCACTGTGGTCTATTCATCAGCGAAAAGCCAGGCTCCTCTCAATGTCTATTACAACCTCTCTGTTGTCCAGGTAAGCTGTACCAAGTGAATGAAATATGGCAGCCATCTCTCCCATATCTAATACAGAGCCCTAAGGAGCAAGACCTAATCACAAGGCATTCATGGGCCCACCATAATCTGCCTTCACACTACTTGTGTTATTTCCTTTTCTCTTATGCTGCACGCTTGAATCATAGTGCACTAGTCCCGTGCAAAAGTCTTCTACCTTTCTACCTCTGTGCCTTTGGGGTTTTTTTAATCCTTACCCAAGGATATGTTTATTGATTTTAGAGAGAAAGGAAGAGAGGGGGAAAAAGAGAGAGAAACACTGATTAGCTGCCTCCTACACAAGCCCCAACTGAGGATTGAACCCACAACCTTTTGATCTGTGGGACGATGCTCCAACCAGCTGAACCACTCAGCCAGGACCCATTCCTCTGTCTTTTTACACCTGGCT